TGTCGTGAGTCAACATTATATTGTTGATCAGGTACAAGATAAGAACTGTCAGCAAGTTGCACGGTCAGTGACAACTGAAGGTACAAGAGAAAGAGCTGGACTCAATATAATTACTTTCCTTATAACGATTATGCAAAGGACACCCTTGTAATAAGACTGCTCGTACCTGAGTAAGAATCCAAGACAGTGAGACCCAGACACAAGTGCAGGCGAAGCAAGCAGACATTTGCAGTAGACCGGCATGGTAAACGAGCAGAAGGAAGTGAGGGAGGCAACTAAACATGGGAACAGAGCTCCAGCAGAATCGACGAGCCAGGTCAAAGTGACTTTAGCAGCCCACTTTGTAGCCAGGAGAGCACAGGAACAAAGCACAATGGAAATCCACAAACGAGGTCGAAGAGAAGAATGTCAGAAGTTCACATTAGGGCTGATCCTAAATATTCTGCTCTCTCTGAGGTAGTGTGGCAATTAACTTCATACAGGTGGAACAGATCTCCTTCCAGAGCTCGTAGTCACACCAACAGGTCAAGCCGAGATTCTGCAGGTTGCTATGGAGATTCTAATGCATTTCCCATGATGGAATTTTGGATGCAGATCAAATTAAATAATGTGGAGGCAGACAGATGCATTAGCCGAGCTTTCTTAATAATGAGCTCCTTCGTGGAAAAATGAAAATGAAACTCATTCTGCTTAAAAATACAGCTGTTGACAACAAGGGGAACTTTATACCTGTGACCCAGTTTCACAATGGTGAGAGCGTGTGTTCTAGTCTGGGGACTAAAATCAGGCAAAGAAGCAGATAATCTAGTTAATGATGGTCCCAGTGAAGAACAGGAACTGTCCCAGGCACATGCTTGGATACATTTGAATTCATACTTGATATGATTTTTTTCTGTAAGAAACAGCATGCAATGATCGAACTCTCTAATGGAATAGGGCCCTATTCCCTGGTCAATGCATGTGGAAAAAATGTATACCATGCAGTTTTCTCCAGTTGATGATCAGCAGAGCAGCTGCCCCAGCACTGAGAAAGAGAGTCAAGATGAGAGCCACCATCCACCCAGAAGGTCCTGGGGAAAAATCTCCTGCAGACAACATAGCAAAAGAACTTGAATTCATTATTGTATATTACCAGGGCATTTTAGGAAAGCTGGTCAAACTACTCTATGTAGCAAAAAATGCTACAAGCCTTGTCAATATACTTAAGAAATCAAATTGCTGCATTCCCTAAAAGGCAACACCTAACAGCAGTTGTGCTACATGGAGTTTTTAGAAAATATATAAACCTTAGTTTAAACTTTAGTGATGATGGAAGACAGCCAGAGAGAAATACTGAGCTCAGATCACTGGCTGTGCTCACATACTGTATATACAGCATCCTTATAATTGAAATCAAAAGTAGTGCTTGACTTATGCAGGCATTGAAGCTCTGTGGCACTGTGCTAGTGCCAAGCTTGTTACTGTATTATCAAAGAAATGGAATTAAAATACATTTACAACTTACTGGGTATGTGTAGCTCAGACCCCAAGTCGAGCTGCGGTACTGTGCTTCTCACCAGGCAGGAGAAGATGTTGGACTCCTGTTTGACTGGGATGTAGCTGCTGACACTGAGGAGCCCCTGTCTGTCCCTCTCTGCTGTGGTGCTGGACAGTGATGTCACGTCCTGTCCATCCTTGTCTGTCCAGTTCACTGCAGGTTTACGGAACCAACCTTCTGACCTGCACACCAGCTGGGTCTGACCCCCTTCATTGGAGTGGAGAGACACTGAGGGCTGGGTCCCCACACCTACAGTATGAGAAATTAGCACAGGAACAGGGGAACTCAGAATTAATGGGAAAAACAAATAGCCTCATGCTTAGACTTCATACATCATAATTGTTATTGGTCACTAGTTTGTGTTGCTCATTGCAGTAACAGCACCACACTATAGAAAACCAGGCAGTGAACAGACTTACCCCTCACAGCCACGTCAATCACAGCTTCCTCATACCAGTTTGTTGATTTAACCATGCACGTGTACTGGCCATCATCGGTTCCTCGCACGCCCTTCAGGAATAGAGATGCGTTGCCTCTCGGGAATTCCTCTGGGAAGAGATCAGTCCTCCCCTTGTAGAATGGATTCTGATTTTGTAATCTAGGCCTTTGGTTCAGGTATAAAAACAGGGGTTTTGAGAAGTCCCCTCTAAACCACCTGATCTCCAGATGCAGCACACTGATGCTGGGCGAGAGGTAACAGGGCAGGACAGTGTGTTCACCAACAGTAGCAACAACAGGACCCGCCGGGCCCAGAACCTGGAACATCTCTGGGAAGAGAAATAAAATACATGATGTATTCATCACTCCATCTTCAAAACACTTCAATAAACAGAGGGTTATAGGGGAGCCAGAGCCTATCCCAACATGCAATGGGCACAAGGCAGGGTGCACTCTTGATGTGGAAACCAGTCCATAACAGGGTACACACACAGAGATAGAGACACAGACACACCAGGGCCAATTCTCTCACAAGACAATGAACCGGCTACCATCGTAGGTATTTAATCTAATCGTGTAGCACCCAGAGCAAACCCACAATAACATGGGGACAACATACACAATCCTCACACACAACATCCCAGGAATTAAACTCAGGGCCCCTTACATGACTTCCTGTATATAAACAATTCTCTGCTCCCATTTCACGACTCAGTGACATGGGTGTAAGATGTCTTGTGGGCCTGTTAATTCAAGATCCAGCTCATGGGTCTAAAGATCAGCATCTATCCTTCTAAATGCCATGTTGGCTGGGGAATTTGAAGTCCTTCTCCATCAATCTTTTAGAATCTAGAATGTCTTTGCAATGTACGGTCAATTTTGAATTACCATGGGAAACATAGATGGGCTCCTGTAACACTTCCACCTGCAAAGTTTTTGAAACTTTGACCCCCTGCAGGATCCTCTGGATCTGACAATGAGGTTCACACTGATCAGAACAGCTGTATAGGTATGTCCCTGACAGTTGGCTGTTGGCTGATGATCTCATCTTGATCAACTTGTTGTGTTGCATTCTATTGCTGCGTTTACTGTACCTGATCTTAAGACAGAGACCTGGAGGACACACAGCAGAAGCACTAGGATCCATCCTGAGTCCAACTCTGACTTCATCCCTGGAACAGAGACAGACTCCCAGTGAGAATCCCAGAGAGAGGAGTTTCTCTCACACAGCTCTGAAGATGAACCAGCGTTGGCAATACAGACAGACTCCCAGAGAGAGGAATGTCTCACACAGTCCTAGAGCTGTACCAACACGGACAGTAGAGAGTGGCTCAACAGGCACTCAGTAAGACCTAAGTAGGAGCCTTCTAAATATACTTGAGCAGTGTGAATTTGCATGGTTTACACTCTGCACGTATTCGTTTTCCATAGCAAACGTGTTTAACGATGCATCTGAAAAATCCTTCCAGTCTCTTGCGTCCTCTGTATACCGCCTTCTAAACCCTGTTGTCTGCTTTAACTAAATCAACCCATCATTCAGATCCTACTATTGTTCTCATTGAGCACAGGAGAACCTCAGTCCAGCCCTGCAACAGCTCTACTGAAGACCGTCCTCTGTCCATCTCTCTCTGACAAGGATGACAAGCACTGAACCCAATCCACACTATAAAACAATGGACACTGAACGCTACAATCTCAATGTACGTATACTTTTGCCTTCATATGTTTCTGAGCACAAAGTCCCAAAACGTATTCTACATGGTGTGTAGAATAGTCACATGGGCAAGAATGAAAATAAGCAGAACACATTATGAATAATGACTATCATAAAAATTGATTTCTTAAGGAGAAATATGTTTTGTTTAATTTGGATCGAATTACTTTTTAAGCTGAGCTATATTTTTATTTTGAAAGTACTATTATTTCAAAACATCTACCGCTTAAAAAAAGCAAATGGAAGGTTTCCCAATGTCCGTGGTACAAACAGATTTCCATTTGATCCTGCTGTGCTCGTAAATTCTCTGACCCATGACACGTTCATTACAGCTCAGGCCAGTGTGGGAATAATGTTTACAAAAAAATATCTCCACATACAAACGTACACATACTGTATATGTAAACATTATAACATATATATATATATAATAGATATTTGTACATGATAATGTCAGACTTACTGCAATGCTGTTTCTGCAAAGTTCTTTCTTGCACTTTGATCTGTCCCTTAAATGACTTTCATTTCCTTTCCTTTGAAAAAGCTGTCTCAGCACGACAGAGTCACACAGATTTGTGCTGGGTGTGTACCAGCTCTTTCTGTAACTGATTAACTACTAGAAAATGTATACAGTTGTATAACACTTCGATAACATTTCATATTGAGAAAATGCATGACATCATTATAGTTCTTTAGTACAATTTATTGCATATTATGAAATACTGTGATAGAGTGGGCAAAGCATTCTCCCAACAACACTGCAAGAAGAAATGGAAGCATGTGATGTGATACAATGGAGGGGACTTCGTTGCAGAGGCCCCATTTTGGCTCCAATCTCAAGCCCAGGGGAGGAGCCTTGAGCCAAGATGGCTGCCTGATATGTGAATGAAGCAGCAGAATTAGACTGTAGCTTCACCTGGCCTGGTTGAGAATTTAGCACTCGGGATGAGTGGAATTCCAGGTGAGAGGAACAGGAGAGGCTCTCGAAGACGACTCCTGTGAGGGTAATGTGGAGGTTAAGGAATCCGATTGACAGAAGGAGATGCTCTCTCTGTGTAGCAGGAGAGGAGACACAAACTGGGTTTGGTAGCAGTTCTGTGGGACTTGGTGAGCCATAGGATCGCTTGGAGATACAGTGAGTGATGTGAAAGATAAGTGGGCTGTGAGTACTCACAGAGGTATAAGGGTATATTGTTGCAGGAAATGCTTGAACAAGTTATTTGAGGTTAGCTTAGGTGTGTACTGTAACTATCAGAGCCATGATATAGTTTATCACCTGCTTCTGTGTATGGTGAATTTTTCTCTTGGTAAGAAAAAAAGTCATCACGAACTGGCAAAGAAATCTGATGGTAATCTTGTACGTAGGGAAGGTGAGAGTTTTGAAGAAGGACTTGGTGTGTTCGATAGTTAGAAGAAAATATGAGTTTAAAGTAGGTTAAAATATGAGGTTTGTAACGGTGTGGTTTGAGTGTGCCGGGCGTGGGCATGATGAAGATATCTATGCTTTTAGAGAACCTGTAATAAAACGGATATATTTAAGTGGACTGAAGCCAGATATAACAAAGACATTCCAAATGACGCAGAAATTAACAGTTCGCGGGATGAATTTGGGGAGCTGGTGACACTGCCGGCCAGGTAGAACAGAATATGGAGGCTCAAGTGAGGGCCCTGCAGTTAGGTGGCTCCAACAATACTAGAGGGGGTGGGAGGAAAGGGGCTGCCTCCTCTGCAGGAGGAGACGTGTTGTGCTACTATTGCAACAAACCAGGGCATGGACCAGGCTGCCACAGGGCTTCCACAACAGCCCAGCAGTGTCTGCGCCAGCATCTGCGTGACCTGCCGGAGGTCAAATCTGTTGTAATTCAAGATGTAGACGACATCTAGCGGCGTCCCCAGATGAGGAGACTCATCGGGAGGACCTGTGGAGGTAGGTGCCTGATTTCTTAGCTCAGAAAGGACATAAGGCCAATTTGGACAAGGCCCGAACTGGCATGGACACTGTGATCTATTTGGGGCAAAAGATTGGTCAAGGAAATCGTGAAATGACTGTTGACAGAACCCAAGCCATTAAAACACACCCCGTTCTCACTACAGTTAAAGAACTGTCTTCCTTCATAGGCCTGTGTAATTTCAACTGGACCTGGGTGGATGCATTTGCAGAATGGGCTCAAACCCTCACTGACAAGCTTAAAGGAAAAGTATCCTCTGATGATATTGTAAAATCAGATGACTCTGAATTGGCTGCTGTTAATGATTTGAAACAAGCTCATTTGCAGGCTCCAACCCTGGGTCTACCTCAGAATGACCAACCCTTTTTGGTTGTATGTGAGCGAGCAGCGGGGATTTTGGTCGGCTGTTTTGACACAGGAACACGGGGACCACCAGTGCCCAGTAGGGTATTATTCTAGACAGCTGGATGCGGTGGCCAATGGCTGAGGACCCCGCCTAAGGGCAGTCCAGGACACCTGTCTGGCAGTCCAGGCTGTAAGTAGCATTGTATTAATTTAATGCTGCACACACGCTTTTGTTTCTGAATCGAATCAAATATCTCAAGTTACCAGTGGTAACCTAGTCATCAAACAAGCAGGTGCAATCAACCCAGCTTGTGACCGACTGACGTGATTCCCCACTGGGATCAACTGAGCAAATATCATTTACAGGGAACACCATTGGTTGATGCTCTTCCTGTGGTACTGTGACCAATCAGACCGCCGGACTAAGTCCACATGACGTCATCACAGGAAGGCCAATGAGATCACCTGGGGGCCTGGATTTAACTACTGGCTGTACTGGTTTATTGACCGATTCTCTTTTACAGTACGGTGAGGAGCCGACAGTTGCAATCCATACAGCCTGGGAGCAAATGAAGGAGGCCGGGGGCCCCCGAAGTGAAGGGGGACACGACCTGATCCTGGGGGAATGGGTGTGGCTGAAGACGTTTGCATCACAGGCGCGCCGAGCCAACTGGGATGGTCCCTTCCGAGTCCTGCTCACCACAGCCGCGGCTGCGGTAGCCAGCAAGGGTCGCTGGATCCAAGCCTCGCACTGCCCAAGGGCAACAGCACCTGATTGAATATTAGACTGTTCATTTTAATAACTATTAAAATTAAAGTTTGAATCTTATGGTGGGGCCTCCAGTTCATTCTTAGCTCTATCGTACTTGTAAGCGGTTAGTAATAATCAAAGTTCTTGTTGGGTATGTATTGCTACTCCTGGGTATGTACAAGGGGGACTGCCAATGGGGGTGATCCCCTTCAATATGAATGATTTTTTAGGATTTTTAGATTATATATGTATAGGAACATACACATACAGTATATATAAGAACGGAACAAATTCCACCCAGCTGTATGGGGAATGGGTCGCTGAGCAAGGGTGGACCCCACTAATTTCACTGGATGGTACGCACCTTGTTACAAACATTATAGGCGCCCACTGGTCTTACAGCTTTTTAGGACTGTAAAGGGTTGGCTCTGCTTCAGCAGATCTGACAACACCTCTACCTCCAACTCAGGGAATAGTATCTGTGATCATACTGTGCCAGGTAATGACAGTATTTATCCTTTATCCTCCACCAGTAGACAGTAGACAGAAGAAACAAAGCAATTCTTTGCCACAACTACTCCTTAGTACAGAATGGGGAAATTGAAGTCATCGATATTGCAGATTTCTAAGAGAAACTGGCCAGTGAAACTGCAGTCGGCCTACAGTCTATTAGCGATGAGATGGTTGCTCTCGGGACAGTGGCTATGCAGAACCATTTAGCTTTAGATTCAACTTGTGCAGTAATTGGTTCTTAATGCTGTACCTATATTCCTGACAATTTGAAACATGTTGCAGATTTAGCACAACACCTTTGTAGCGAAGGGCAAAAATCCATAACTATAATCCGGATGATTGGGGAATAACTAACTGGCTCCCAAGTATTTTGGGACATTGGGGAACCACTGTGGTGCAATATATATTTATAGGACTTATCTTTTTGGTCATTGAAGGGGCTTTTTGTGCTTGTGTACGTGCTTTATGTGTGTTAAATGTGTTGAAAATAATTTTTCCTCTGTCATGGCACTGAAAGCTGAACCACTACTCTCAATAGGCCCCAAATCTACTAAGGCCCCTCTGAGTGTTCCTCTTAAAAGAAAATAGACAAATATGATTTTAGTTAAAAGAAACTCACCGTGTTGGTAGAGTTTCTTAAGGGGGAACTGAAGAAATGTTGTGCTCTGAGAAAGGAACAATGGGCTCTGTTCTCATACTGTAATTATGCTTAGCTTTGGTGAGTAGCTGGCTGATGGCTGCAATCGCTCATGACTCTCATGAATGTCTAACAGACGTTCCATTTTGAAACTAAATGTTCTCTTGGTACGCAAACAACTGAAACTGCCTGAGAAAATATCTTGTGGATGGTTTTCTGCTGGAATATCTATTATTGTTTTCGCTTCCTCTTATATGACTGAATTGGTGTGACTCACTGTATAAAAAGGGAAACACTGCTGTATTCATTTTCAGCTACATTCAGAACTGTATTCTGTACAGTTCTCCTGTATGCATACATAAAGGTCTGCTTTCCTGCTCACTTCAAGAACCTGATCATTGAGTGATTTCTACACTATACTCATACCAAATTATGTTCAGGTGATGTGGAACTGATTTCTTATAATCTACTGTATTACTTATTGACGGGTCTCTAAACCAGTTAAATTCAATTTTATTTTATTGTAAACAGACCAAGGTTCATTGTACCTGAGACAGAGCACTTGAAAATGATGTTTACAGCATATACTGTATATACTTTAAAAGTAAATATAAAACAGAGCACATTTATTCTTCTTCTGGGGAAAGCGCTTAAGTCAGCACCAACTGGAAAGAAAATTCGAACTTAAAATATGGTGATTGCATAAACATTCCCCCCCCACACACACACACTTTTGCTACGGCAAACCTAAATCAGTTCAAAATCCTCTTTGTATGGGTTATAAAGGCACTCATCCACTATGCATACAGTAGAAGGATGAGCTGGATCTTTAGTGATCCTTTGGAGATACTATTGAAATGTCTTTTTCTGCGCGTGTGTAGATGAATGGAAAAAGTCTCTCTCCTTCTCTGAATTCCAAGCCAGTGAAGGTGTAGATATGAGATCTGGATTCCACTTTGTAAAAGGAGACCTGCCTCTCCCCTATATCAAGACACAACCCCATCTTCCGGGGCAGCAGGCTATTTGGGAGTGGGGTCCATGGGTCAGTGAAAGCAAAGAGACGAGACGAATGACTCGCCAAAGCCCAGTATCCCTGCTCAGGGGTGAAGCTGAAAGCCCCTTTCCTGCAGGCAGACTCTTTGGTCACTCCCACTGTGCACCACTCATTCACTTGTATCACCCAGTAATAGCGCCCCGAGGTGAAGCTCTCCCTGCTCAGGATGCAGCACCAGTGATTAAATCTCTTAGGATTGTCAGGAACATCTTTCAGCTCTCCAAACCGCACTCTCTTCCCATCCCCTGACAGCACCAGCTCGCACTGTGCGGTTTCGGGATCCAGAGTCAAATCCACTACAGGAAAAAAAAAAGAGTTAAAACCACTGATTTGCATTCAGAATGTAGTGCATCTTGTCATCTTTTTAATATGTTCCATCATCTGCACTGCGAAGTTCCTTGTTTGAAAGGGAAAGACACAGAGAAATCAGATATTATCCAATACAGCACCTTTTCGAAAGAAAAAGGAAAATGGGTGTTGTATCATCGAAAGGATTCCATAAGGATTATGTTCTTTTAACATGAGATCACACTTTTTTATATTTTGGAGTTCTGCAAACATTCAAATACATACCCCCGTGATTCTAAGGGGGATCACAGCTCCCTGAAGTTGATTAAACCCAACACTTTTGTTTGTGCTGTGTTTGCACTGGTTTGTGCCAATGAAAGTAGTATTTGTATTGCTTTGTGTATCTTTCATTCCCAAGATATAGTGTGATAATGTAATATTACTTGGTCCCCCTACAGAACAGCATACAAGAACTGTCTCATGTGTTGGTTATGGTTTGTGCTGTTGAAAGTTGCATCTGAGGTGCAACTTTTACGTTTGCTTGTACATTCCTAAAATATCACATACTTCTGTCGCCACTGTAGGGCGGCTGAGTGACCAAAAAGGTGGTATATCTTGTGAATGAAAGCAGCACATGTGCTACTTTGAAAGGCACCAACTGGCACAAACTCAGCACCAACAAAAGAGGTGGGTTTTATTGTTTGTGTTTGTAGATGGGCCAACTCAATTGAGCTATTATAATCAGAGATTATAGTTCAGGCTGAGCCCTTCAAACCAAGTATCACAGTTTAAGTCAAGGTTTATGC